AGCACCATTCACCAAATGCTTCCTTTGCAATAAATAATAATTATAAGAAAGGCTTAAATGAAATGATTGTTACACCACTGTCTGTAATTGCACAATGCAATTCAAAGCAAAAGGCTAAATCTTGAGAAATGAGTTCTTGTTGAAGACATGATTTGAGGTCAACAGTAGGAGCAGCAGATATCTTAACAGGCGGGTTTGAAGGTCAGGAGTAAGAACAATTCAAAATAAATCCAGAATGCATGTTCAAGCAACTTAGTATGAAGCAAATTATTTATGAAATGTATGGTAGTGATATCTCATGCAGTAAAAAGCTTAATATGTAATAACAACCTGTGAAATTTTCAGTAAAACCAAACCAGAAACAGGGCCAAAGTTCCCAGGAATAAAGTCTGCTTATTGAGTTTACATTGTGTTTCTACGCACAAACTCTAAACATTAAAAAGGCTAACTTGTACCAAGGAACCAGCAACTAATATGATGGTGGCAGTGCAACAGTTTGGGAACTTACTTTGCACATCTATTTGTGACTTTAAGCTTACCTAATTACTCAACAGCAATTGTGCTTCCTATTGTCTAAAATGTTGAAATAGCAATGTATAGTAGTTAGCTGTCAGTTTCTCAAAGATGTAATGAAAGTGACTACTGAGGAAGAGTGCAAAAAAAGATAGTAATATTAGTAATTTTTATACAAAGAAGAAGAAGTGAACCAAATCACATTCATGTTTAGATCAGTTTCTACAGTGGAATGACAATGACATCCTAATTTAGTCTGATCACGTAAACTGTATTCAGTTGTCAAAGGAATCTGGCAAATGCCCAAAGAAAGATTCATAATTCAAGAGAAATCATTGATAAGCCAAGTGCGTCAAGATTCTGCTTAGGAATGCCTTTCTAATGACATTGATATAAAAGATATGTATATAGGCAAAGAGTAGCATAAAGATAAAAAGAAATTGGGAGAAAAAACTGAAAGATACAAATCTGCAGTCCATAATTGGTTCAGTGTGCACAAATATTATTTTATGAACACACAAGAAAAAAAACTGCAGAATACCAAATTACTGAAACTGAACTAATGAGAAGAATAGCATATATAAATAACACACAATGTATTAAATCTTCATCTCCATTCATGAGGTGTTTGTATTTCATCTATTCGTAGTGTGTGTGCTTAATTTAGATAGATTTATTTAAATTATTTAATAGATTTAAATGATATGGTTATTTTCTGAAATTTAAAGTAAAATTGCCATTTTATAACATGTAAGATTTTAATACAACATATCACGTTTGATAATTAGGTAACTAATTTGTATTTATTTCACTTAACATGCTAATTTATTACAAATATAATGTTAAGGTCTGAATGAGATTTTTGGATTTTTCAATGTCTTTAAAATCAGATTCATTTCTATAACTTTATTTGAGTAATATTTCCTAATAAAACTTTGTGAATGACCATTCCAAATCTAAATCATATGATTATCTATTATATGCAATTTTTGACACAGTAATCTATAATAGACGTTTAAGCAAATAAAATTTCTTGTGGAATAAAAAGTGAATACAAATCTAAATAGTTAAATAGTTTTTAGGTAGAACAGCATTGCAGCTTGAATAGACAGAAACAGAATGAAAAGATTTTAGGTGCATAGCGAGTACTCACTAGTCAGCCAAGAGTAGAAAAAAATACAAGGTGTAAAGACTGTTTTAAAGAAACACAGACTCATGGAAAACACATAAATAAATGAAGAATTACAGCACGAGATCACAATAATTAACTATGTCATACATTCTGTTAAAAAAAGGTGCATTTTCAATCAACAGCAATAAATGCCTCTCATGTCTGAATTGTGTAACTGAGAAACACGTACAGAATTTCTTATTAAAATGTGAATTTATGTGTTATTTGTAAGCTGTATTTGTAGATTGTACATTTACAAGAAAGAACAGACTAAATGTTAACTAGCATAATGATGTTATCAGGAGGGCAAAAAGAGGTAGAAACATAGAGGAGAGGATGTCCACAAACAAATTTGGGGGAAAAAAACTCTAAATAATTAAATGTTTTGGATATGAGAAACAGCAATACAATGTACCCTGTCAATTATAGAAAAGTACTGTCCACTTAGATTGCTAATTCAAGTCGTATCCTTTTTGTTTGCAGCATTGTCTGAGAAACTGCTCGACTATTCAATGATTGCAGTGGAGCCCTTTGTCTCCGCAGGTAAATTCATGTTTGCAATAAATGAAGTGCTGCTGCAGAACCAATATGCTGCCAGCTAACGTCATTAGTTCACATGCTAAGGTGTGCTAAAGACACCCTGTGAACATTAATTTTCTTTTTTCCCCATTTGGTAATTTGTTAAAAACCATCAATGGCAAGAAGTCACCTTTTACATCCTCACTAATCATTCGAACATTATACTAATCTTAAATTGAAACTTAAAGTGTTAATTTTCTGCTCTTAAAATCCTTATTAAACAAACAAAGTTTGAGATCATTAACTTTTGTAATTTGGAAAAGGCAGGCAGCACTAATCTATGACAGGATGATGACGTTTCTGTATTATATTTTGTCCATAGTATAGTGTAGGCTGAGATAAGTCATTTAACAACACTGTTGCTCACATTTTCCTAATCTTGAGTCTCTCTGCTTTGTTGAATTTATTCCAAGACCTGAACATTAATACCAGTGACAAGAAAGGATTTTGTTTTGGAAAAAAGGCAGTAGTTGGTCAACTATAATTAAGTTTATTTGTGAATCTGAACTCTAGCATTCACCTAGGAACTGGCTCATCCATGATTGTATGCATACAGTGGTCTACAAAGGCTTGTTTCAGTCAAACAATAGCATATTATCTGTCTGTTTTATAATTATCTTGAATGTACATAGACTGAATTTATCTTTTTTGTTTGTACATTCAATGTCATAACCATCCTTACTGCTTTCTGTGCATTATTTCACTTATAAATATATCTAACATTTAGAATTTGCTTGAACAGAATGGCCCAGATATTGCAGTCAGTGACAAAGTAACAAGACTTGCTGCTGAACTTGAAGGAGGTTGCCCATAAAAATCCAATCTTTGTGCATTTTCATTCTTGACATCACTCTAAATCTGGCATCAAGGTAAGGGGCTCTTCAGCCATTCAAAGAGCAGCAAGCAGGAAGTAAAATGCATGATATTTTCAATGTTTATAATTTGCAAGTAACAAAATAGATGATTGGGACAAACATTGAATTAAGGTTAAAACTGAAATATCATTAACAAATTTTTTTCTTAAAAAAGGTTAAAAATTCAATTTTATCATAATTGAGACATTTGATATTCCACTAATATGAAATTAGTTTTTCAGTGATAATGTAGCTGGTTAACATTATTTATAAACACTACTAAATATCCAGTTACATTATATCCAATAAGGTGCGAATTTTCCAGGAGCACAACTAACAGATTAAAAGAATGTGTTTTAATCAGTTCAGTGATTTGTATTTGTTCACAGTCTGTGAGGACATCGTTAACATACCCTTGAATCATGGACAGCAACTTCTGGATCTCAACATTTAACAGCACACGTACAGGCTCCCGAAGCTGTAATTTAGGTTGAGTAATGACAGTGAACACTGACAGTTTGCTTAATTACGACTGCAAAACCCAAGCCAGGACAGTACAGTATCTATTTACCTCGTGCAGAATCTACCAATGGAATATACTTGAAGGAAAATAATCACAGTGAGCAAAAGGATGTAGGTTTCTTTTTATAGGAGACTTGGTTCGCTTATGGAAATGCAGCTCACCTGCTCTGAACAAGAATTCAAGCGTTGGGAGAAAGCCAATACTTCAAACATAAATGAAACTGGACTAAAATTCAAATTGAAAGGTTTTGATTTAAAGTAGGAATCCATAAGTAATTTGTCCTGTGTTAACTTTTGATCAGAAGCTGTACTGATTATAATAAGATACAGTAGCCAATAACTTCTTCCCTGGATACACAAGTTATGAGGTATTAACATTGAATCAGACCTGCTGCAATGACTGTGGAATAAATTTTCCTTGAAATAGGCATTCTGACCAGTGCAGAAGTTACTTTGGGAATATTTCAGCATGTGTGGCAGCTTTGCCAAACTGCTAACTGCTGCCAAACAGCAACCAGATTCAATTTCTTTAGTAGAATTTTCTAACTGGAAGGCAAAAAAGACCATACGCATAAAACCTTCAAAACATCTTCCTTACGTTATTAGGCAGAAGGGTCTGTATGTTACATAGTTATGATTAGACTATAACATTTCTTGAAAAGTAGCCAAGTGCATTCAAATAATATTCTGGATCAGACTGGTGTGCAGGTTCTATGCAAAAAAAATTTGCACGTTGATACAGCTCATCCTATGGGCATATTTCACTGGCACACTAGAATGTTTGGGTCAGACACAAGAATTGGCCTCACACATCATTTCAACACAGCATATTCCCACAGTTCGCTTCAACTGTCCAGTTGAAATGCTGAATTTCCATTTAAAAAGAAATTTGAGTGCATCACCTCACATAATACAAGCTTATTTCGTAAACACTGGCACAAACCAAGTGTTGATATCTTCAGGACATAAACTGCTGAGAAATAAGTCCACATATTAATTCCTAGCGGAAGTGAAATCATTTTGTCAACTATTGCATTTCCAAACTCAAAGACTCAATACAATTATTTTCACACATTAACTTATCAATTAATAGATTAGGTTTCATACGAGTTTGAAAAAAAGATATTCACTAACATGTGCTGACTAGAAGAGAACTCCAGAAACTTGTCAACATGATGTTGAATCAGTGCTTTTAAGGTTTATCAACTTGAAATTAGTCTACTGTTTAGAAGTGCACCACACAATTCCCAACACTTCTGTCAACAGCTGAAAGAAAGATTTCATTTCCTCATCCAAAATCAAGTGCATTAAATATGAATAGTGCAGTTATACTGAGGCAATTTGTTCCCTGGAAGGCTTGTTCAGTGTGATTTGTCATCTGTGTCTGATGGACTGGATTCACGGGGAAGTGTAAGGCTCTCCCTTCTGTCCCACAGTTTGTGAATCTCTGTGGTATCTGACTCACTGCTGCTATTGCCACTTTCCCTGAAACTAGCCAATGGTGGACGCATCTTCACACCTTTCGATGTGACTGATCCTTCGATGGCTTTTCTCAACTGAAATAAATTAAAGAAAGAGAGATTGAAAGCTTTTCTTAAAATAAAACAATTATCTACTCTACAAGCAGGATGAGTTAATTCGAATGAACACATACATTTTAACTAAACATTAACAACATTAGAATTGAATATTGGAGTAGCAGCCATTTGTGATTTATGAGTTTCTTTCTATTTGAGAACCACTCACTTGTTAATATAGGGTAACATTTTTAATTGTTACCTTTTGATGCAATCCTTTGTGCAATGAAAGATTGAGTTCAGTGTGCACAGTATGCTAATATGTGCCTTGAGTTGTACACACTGCATGCCAGGAGCCTGCATTTGGAAAATTAAACCTTACGCCCATTTTATTAGCGTAAGGAATAATGTTGAGCATTGTTGCATGAATTAAATGTTCTAGTGTTTAGTTCACTAGTTTCTTAATAACTGCCTTGTAATGCAATGTCTGAAATACTAGTGACACCTGTGCTTTATATGGAGGTATTTTAGACTTCAAATGCAAAACAAATTCTGGTGTCACTGTAAATCATACTTCTTAATACTGCAGGGACATTCTACAATTAAGTTTAATCATAAAAAGTAGCCCAAGTGTCATATGTTATGATTTCCTTCAAGCCCTTCAAATGTATGAATAGTAACAAGTTTGACTCTTTTCCATGGATATTCCATTGCCAATCTTGGTAATTACAAGGGAGATTGACCATTTTTCTTTTCTAAAAGGTTAACACCATAAAAAACAAACTATTTTTGTTAATTGAAATACAGTCAAAGAAATCTGAAATGACCCAGCTTGGGTCACTGATCACTAAAAATTCAGGTTAGCATCTGTACCTATTCATGGTGAACTAATAACATCAAGCATCAATCTTTTCCAATCACCTGGACTGAATTCACAGGGAAGCGTAAAGTCCGAAAATTCATGTCCCCTGATTTTTAGGTGTGGGCTTTGCAATTCACGATGTGCCTACACAAGATGGATAAAATTGGGCAAAATTCATCTACGCACCTCATTCCCATGATTGCAGAGTGATCATGAATGGCTCCTGCAGAGCCAAGATGCCATGTTTGTGTACACATCCTCTGCCCATATCTAGAGTCCAAGCAACATTGGAAGGAAATCACATGCCATCCCTTTTAAAAGGGGAAGTTCCTATAAAATTACTGTTGGAGGAATGCACTAAAAGCTGCATAATCATTTTGTCATTCAGGGATCAGAATTTGCACATCATGAGAAGAGTAGTGAACCTTGAGACGGTAACTCAGGAGACTGGGATGTTGATGCAAGGTGTAATTCTGACAGCATGGCAATCCGAGCTTGTCAATTGACTGGTCTTTGGGACAGCTCTTCCAATTTTGGCAGAAGCCCCAGATGGTAGTTAGGACAGTACATGAATATGTCCTTGCCATTTCTAATGCTTGGGTGATCTGTCTCTGTTTCATGTCTCTGGATAAATAGTTGAGGACTTGGATTACTAGTCCTGCAACATATACACCATGTAGCACTTAATATGAAACTCAGAAGTTGCTTCATCAAAGATAGAGTATTAAGCATTTGTTTAATATGTTTGATACATATTAGCACATTGAACCTATTAGATTGGGTTGGCAGTGGGCTTGCAGGCAGGGAAACAGTCCACGAATTTCTCGGTGTACCAGGCCAGCAGCCTAGCCCCCTGCCTCGCCACACTATTACGAAAAATGGGAAGGTGTGGTTAGGTGCATGTGCCTGTGTGCTAATTAAGGCCATTAAGGCTAATTAAGTGCTCAATTAACAACCTGTGCCTACTACCACTCAGACTTACCCAGTGGAAGGAGAAGTCCACACTAAACATCTAACCTAGCAACTTTAATGTGCTCATTTGTAGGAATAAAGGTGGGACTGTCTCCCTGGGCATATCAGAGAGTCCTCCCCCACCACCTGACCATTCCCAGACCATTCCCCAAATCTATGGCCTGTTTACCCAGTCCCTGTCCTCCCTGTCACCAGTGCTTTCTATCCTGACTGCAACAAAAACACTGCCTCCCCCCACCCCCCGCCACAGCCCCCCGCCCCCCCTCACCCCTACCCAACAATTTCCTTTTAGTCTGTGCCTGGCTCCTCACGACTGGAGACTGCTGCAGGTCCAGCTATGTCACTTCTGGGACCAGCCAACTGCCAGCTTAATGATTAGTTGGCAGCTGAGGGATTGGATTTCCTGTCCAGATGAAACCGAAGTCCTGCCTTAAAGCAATGAACGACCATACAGCAGTTAAATGTCTACAAATCAGGCTTTTTTTTTCCCCCCGGGGCTGGGATCTTGATACCCTTTTAAATCCCAACGGAGAATTGCCTAGCCCATCAGGCAGTGAGACATGCCTTGGTGCTCCTTATTTGCAGGTTTCCTGAATAATGCAGCTGGCTAATTTAAATTAATCTCTGCCCCATCTAATGTTAACTCAGCTGACTTTCAGAGATACTAAATAAAACGCAAATATAACTAAATTGGCTATCGGTCATAGGAGAGTTCTTTCGTTACGTCTCTAGGACATGTCACCATATACCTCCAGGACAACATCGAGCCAACTCCTAAAAAAGTCAGCTGCACAGATGATTTTACCGAACTCAAGGAGATATCTATGGCAGATTCAAGTTCATAACACACACGATGGCTGAACTTACCATGATGATAAACAGGCTGGCAATGCTAGTATTATTATTTTCTTTTTCCATTTTTCTTGGGTGGTATCAGCAGAGGGTTACTACTGTGGAATGTCAGTTTCTGAGTTAGCCTACTTATTACTTAATTCATTTTCTATTTGCTAATGCAATCAAGAGAAGTTGAAAGAAAGTCCTTTGGGGTGGAGGTGCAGTGGTTAACACCCCACTGTTCTATAAGATAGGATTCTTGGGTAGGCTATCCTTTTGATCTTACCTCCTGCATTTCCCGTTCCTGCTATCGACTCTACACTTGCTCATATTGGAACAGCTGAGACCAGGAAATGTAGGGTGTTGAGAGACCAGTTCCGTACCTGACATTTTCTAACTGGGAATCAGGTTTAAACAGGACTCTTGTCTTTTTACTGCAATTCTTGACCTTCATATTGCCGATGAAATGTAGAATAACATACCTCTTTGAGAGCTACCACTCCTATTAGCTTTCCAATGCTGGTGACGTAAGCATGGTTAAGTCCCAAGAGAGAGAACATGGTGTGAGTCTGAAGAGAAACAAGCATCTTTGATCAGATAATCAACTTTAATTGAACAGAATGTTGCACTTAAACACAGAGGTTCAATTCTTTTTAAACTTGTGGATACATTTCAATCGCAGTTTTGCAACATTAAAACAATATTAATGTTACATATTCTTTACAGTGAATCAATATTATTTGTTCAATGTACTCTTCACATTGTCAGTAACAGTCAGTTCGAAGGTTTTGGTGATATCATTTTGGGAGAAAAAGGAAAATCTTCTTTCATGAGAAAATAAAACAACTTTTCAGCCAGCATTCCAACAGATGAAACAGATTCTGATATGTTGGATGCATATTTTTTATTAGAATTAATGTAACTAAACCTCTTGCTAATTTTTACTTTGGTGAAGAGAAACAACATACCCTAACTTTGTAAACGTTGATTGACTGGCTATGGAATCTCAGAATGTTGTGTTCTCATTTGAACTTTCAGCATTTGCAGATTTACTTTTTTAAAGAGATGTTGAGAATTGTACAGGCAACCTGCAGTTGAGAAAACAGCACTGATGACATAGTGCCATAATTTTCCTCTGTCCACTGCCTGCCCACTCTCAGTGTGAATTTAGGAACAGTGGGCCATGTGCAGGATAGGTTGCCTTCCGGTAGACCAATTGAAGCCCTTAAGTGGGCAATTATTATCCAATTCCTGGAGACAGATGGAAGTCCCGTTTCACTATTTAAAAGCTGCCACTTGAAATATTAAAGTAGGCCAAGCTGGCCAAGTGGAGGCAGGCTCCTACCCAACATTTCCATTGGGATGCGGGGACCCTGCCCTCAGAGCGTAATCCACTGCATGGGAAGAAACTTGTGTGTGATGACCGACTGTCATTTTCATGAACTTGTGTTGATTACAAAGATAAAAGACAAAACCTCAAGTAGAAATTAACACGTATTCTGCATCAAGTGTTAGAATTTACAGCACTGGCATTCTATGAAGAATACCCACAGCTCTAACTGCTTTCACAGGCATGTGTTACTACTGTTAGATAAGCCAGGCTACACACCCGGCCTTTTCTAGGAAATTAAGTGACGTCATCTATTTGGATTTTCAAAGGGCATTCGGGAAGGTGCCACATAAAAGGTTCTTACACAAGTCAAGAGCACATTGTGTTGGGAGTATTGATTAGCAAAGATAATGAATAAATAAAACACTGAAAATCTGAAACAAAATTAGAAATTATTGGAGAACTTTGACTCTGCTTTCTCTGTACAGATGCTGCCAGACCTACTGAGGTTCACCAGCAATTTCTGTTTGAACATAGATAAAGGACATAGAAAGAACATAGATGGATTGGCTAACCGGAAACAGTGTCAGGAAAAATGGATCAGTTCCACGTTGAAAAGCTGTAACCAGGAGGATATAGCTTAACATGGGGATCAGTGCTGGGGCTTCAACTATTTACAATCTATTTTACTGACATGGATGAAGGGTTGAGTGCATTATAGCTAAATGTGCTTATCAATACAAGGACTGGTAGGAAAGTAAATTGTGAAGACAGAAAGAGTTTTGAAAAAGAACACAGATAGATTGAGCGAGTAAGCAAAATCTTGGCAGCTAGTGCATAATTTGGGAAAATGAGGGAATGTCCATTTTGGTAGGAAGACCAGAAACGCAGAATATTATTTAGATGGTGAGAAACTGCAGAATGTTGCAAATCAGAATCTTTGTACATGAAACACACACAGGTACAGTAAAAAAAAATTAGGAAGGCAAATGGAAATTTGGCCTTTATTTCCAAGTAGTTGGAGTATAAATGTGGGGAAATCTTCAAACAACTGTACAGTGTATTGATGAATCTACATTTACAGAACCATGTACAGTTTTGGTCTTTTTAAAAAAGATATGTAGTTGCATTGGAAGCAGTTCAGACAAGTTTCATTAGTCTGCTTCCCAGGATGAGAAGGTTACCTTATGAGGACAGGCTGTGAAGGTTGGACTTATACTGGGGTTCAGGAGAATGAGAGGTGCTCTTATTGAAACATACAATTCTTAAGGAGCTCTACAAAGTGCCTGCTGAGACAACGTTTCTCTTGTTGGGGGAAATCCAGAACTAGAGGTTAAAATTTAAGAATAAGACAACTGCTATTGAAGATAGAGATAAGGAGGAAGATCTTCTGAGAGATCTACGAATCTTTGGAATTCTCTTCCTCAGACAGCAGTGGCAACTGGGTCATTGAATATATTCAAGGCTGAATTAGATAGATTTCTGATGTACAAGGAACCCGAGGGCTATGGAGGGGGTTCAGAAATTGATTTAAGATCACAATCAGATCAACCAAGATCTCATTGATTGGTAGAGCAGGTTCCATGTGTCAAATAGCCTACTCCTGTTCTAATTTCTTATGTTTTCTACTAAAGAATACATTAAGTTGAACAGAGACAGGATCAGTAATGTTGATCTCACTCTTCACCATCATAAAAGTCGTATGGTTGGATGGTGCTGTAGCATCTTTCTGATTAATGCTTAATATTGATGGTGGCAATAACAACTTACCAGCAATGTTTACTTAGGTCTAATCCTGTTCACTTGAATAAATATCTTTTAATTTAGAGTATTTGAAAATTATAAATCACCATAATACTGGAAAGCATATAATTTCTCAAATTAACTGAAAGAAGTAAACATATCCCTGACGTTTAAGAGTACTTTTGCACCCACTTTCCTAATATTGCTGCTCGTTATAGCTTCATCTGAATTAAAGGAGAATGGCTAGATTTTGTGCTTTCAAAATGAATGATGAAATGTTTGGGTTTAATGAATGTGCTATAAAATGTTTCTCATTTTTACTTCAGCATGGCCCTTGGATGATATGTTGATGGATTAATTCCAGCAGTAAAAAACAAGAAAAGTAGTTGAATTTTGCCTGTTGACATCTTTGTGCACTCAAGGAACGTTGTAGAAATGTAGATTATCTTTAATAGACAATACATAGATCCCTCTTCAGCTGCAAAATCAAATTAGAGATTGTTGCTCCAGATTAAGCTTGTGAGAAATTTTGGCAAAGAAGTGAACAGCCTGATTTACATAGAGCTCTTCCCTGATGAAATATCAGGGGTCAATAGTGCCATCATGGTAATGTCACAGGATTAATAATCCAGAGCCCCAGGTGCTGTGGGAATATGGCTTCAAATCCAGCATGCCAGCTGGTGAAGTTTAAATTCAAATTCAACTATTCCATTTCATTCACTGATGGAATGTGGGCGTTACTGGCTCGCCAGCATTTATTGCCCGTCCCTAGCTGCCCTTGAGAAGCTGGTTGTGAGCTGCCTTCTTGAACCAATGCAATCTTTTTGCTGTATTTTGACCCATAATGCCCTTAGGGAGGGAATTCCAGGATTTTGATCCAGTGACAGTAAAGGCCCAGCAATATATTTCCAGGTCGGGAAGGTGAATGGCTTGGAGGGGAACTTGAAGGTGGTGGTGTTTCCATGCATCTGCTACTGGAATTTGGAAACTAATAATGATGACTGTGAAGTGTCATCAATTGTCATGAAGACCATGTGGCATCCTTACCTAGCCTGGCGTACATGAGAATCCAATACGCGGCAATGTAGTTGACTCTTAACAGCTCTCTGAAATGGACAGCTAATTCTTAGCACACCCAACCCATGCATGCAAGACTCAAAACATGTGTCCAACATTAGATGTGATCTGTGATTGGGCAACATTGGTTAAATAATCCAGAGTGAAAAAGATCCTGAATTGCCAGGCTTGCAGTGTGCCATACATCTGCTAACTTACAGCTACATATATTAATACACCAGTCACTTGCCTTTGCAAACAAAACTAACATGTTCATGTGTTGCACCTGTTTCAATTTAACCAAACGGGCGACAGCTATTTTCAGGGCTATCCCTTGACTAATCAGAGTCAGTGCTTGGAATCTGAGTGATTTGGGGTCTGAGTGATTTGGGCTATGGCGACATGCGTGACACAATTGGACAACCAGTGCAGCGAGGCCCATCTCAATGTCAAGATCATCTCGCTCCAACCTTTTATGCTTATCAGTAGCAAGATGCCAATTGACAGCTTTTATTGCTTGTTAGAAGTCCTGCTAATGCCAGAACTTACGTCTAAATATTCAGACCAAATTTGCCTAACAAGTTAGATGCTGGGATAATTCAACAAGGAAACCAGAGTGAGCACTTGGTGGCTTCAACTCACCCTGAGAGACATGGACCAGCTTGTAAACTGGGCCAGACTGTATATCCTGACTCTTCACTTGCTATTATAGCTGTCATTCACTGAGAGACTACCGCAATGCACACAGCATCCATGCCTTTCCTTTTAGAGCTTTGCACTCTAAACCAACAATTGGCTTATACTACTGCTGTCCTGCATAGCCTTTTGGTGCAGACACAAAGCCAGGAAAGCTCATCATAGTTGTGAGTAGGCCTCAATCAAGTCAAAGCGATTACCTTCGTTCAGGGGATCCCAGTACAGGTGCAGTCAGAGTCAGGATCCTCTCCTCATAAGGTGCAAGGAACTGAATGACAGGCAGCACACCAGCCATCCTGACTCTTTTCTGTTGTGGGCTCTTTTTCTCTTAGAATAAGACAGAGGCAGGGATACTGAGATGAAAGTGGCTAACACACCTATTACAGTTGGGACAGGTGGGGAAGTATTCCGGATGAGCGAGTAGACAGTGCACAGATATGCAAGGTTCATGGTGTTGGTTGTTGGGGGTGGGTGGGGGTGAGGGGGAAGATGTTGTAGGTAATAGTAATAGTGGCAGACCATGACACTTGGTGAGAGGTGTGTACAGTAGCAGAGACAGTGTGATTGTCAGAGAAGTTGGTGACACTTACACTGGCAGAGTGGAGAAGGTCATTGATCTTCTTCCTACAGTGCTGGACGTCCTCCAGATGGCTGAGACTGCTTTAATCCAGGTGGAAAATTCAGACCCAGCTGGTATGGTCTGGTCACCATAACACCATAGGAAGTGGAAGTCCCACCACTGCA